TTCTTATGTTAATCCCCATACATTACATCATTAGTTCTAGATGAAGTGTTCCATTTTTAAGTGTGGTTTTAACTTGAGATCGAGCCACTCTTGTTTTAGGAGGTTGCTCAGAGAAGTACAGTCTTTAAAACCACCATCCCCGAAGAGGAGGAGGATGAGGAAGACGCACCTGAAGTGCTGGCAGAGGAAGAACTTTTCCACCAGCAGGTATTACTCTAATATTTTTAAGTTTCATTGACAGAATTATATAAAAAACAAAATCAATAGTGAATTTGGTTTTTTCCCCCTGTTACTTGATGAACCACGTAAGTGATTGGCCAGGTGGGTTTGGTTCGTTTTTCCTGAGGGGATATTCAAGATAGCGCGGTAGAATACTGGAAGAAAACGTTAGCCCTTCTTTTAAAACATTTGTTTTCTTATGTCACATTTCAGTTTTGTTTTATAATGTACCTAGGACTTGTACATCTCTTATAAATAAGTATATATGGGCTGGAATGCATGCTTAAAATTATTGAAGAGTTCTGTGATAGAGAAGTTTAGATCACTAAATTAGAGTATCTGCATATAAACTTTAAAAACCAGAGTAATGTTCAACGGCAGTGGGAAACAAAATTCTTGCTATATTAGGTTCCTAATCATCTAATTACAAGATAGATTTTAGCTGATGCTTGGGCTTTTGAGAGCCCTTGAAATAAACTCCAAATTTGATTTTAATTAATTAAATTGGAATTATTAATAAGTAATAAGCCTTCAGTTTATGTTCTCAAGCTGTTTGAGTCAGATGGTTAATCACAATTCCTACCCTTATCCTTCTAAGACTTTGTGTGTCTGCAGATTTATAAATCTCTTCGTTTTGCTTCATTGGCCCCAGTCCTACTCCCCAAAACATTCTCGTATGTGGTTAGCCGCCAGGGTTGAGAGCCACCTGAAGTGGGTTGTATGAGGTAGAATGAATTTTTGGATACTTCCTGATACATTTTGGAGGACTATTTAAGAACAGATACTTTAGGCTTAGCTTAAACAAGAAAACAAGGACAAGATCCATTTCCTGCCCTTACTGGGAAGCATCATAATGCCCGAAAGTAAAGTAACAGTGTAAGAGATACCTCAGGGTGCGGGACAAGTGGCTCAGAGTAGGGGCTGGAGTGGGCAGATGCTGGAGAGCAAAGGCCGCCAGAAGAGCTGACAGGATCTCTGGAAGTATGCTTGTCCAGTGTTTGGAAGGACTTGCAGTTGCTTGGGTAGCAGGAGACAGCCCGTGGTGTTCTGCGGGTGTTCGACTTACCTGTTGGCTGCCTTAACACACACCCCGAGGCTTAGTGCCTTCGAACAAGTATTTCTCACTTGCCGTGAGCGGTGGTCTGGCTGGGCTCAGCTGGGCACTTAGCTCTTTTGCTCCACGTGATGGAGAGTGAAGTTAATGATGCGGTTGCCCCCAGCTGCGATCGTGGCTGGGGCTGGAAGGTTCTCCTTGTTTCTCTCCATGTTCCTTTATCTTTCGGTAGTTTAGCCCAAGCTTAATTACAACATGGCGGCTGGCTTCCAGGAGGGTGAAGGAGAGCGCCAGATCTCTTAAAGGCTAGGCCCATATTCTCTTAGCCAAAGTGAGTCTCGAGGCCGTCTCCAGTCCTGGTGAGGGTAAGCAGTCGTCAGCTCTTGACGGGAGGAGAGGCAGAGAATCTGTGGTGATCTTCCATTCACCGCAGGGGATGTGTCAGGACTTACGCGCCAAGCATATCTGTCCAGTTGTATTGGAGGGTGTGTGTCAGACATCCAGGGAATGGGGAGCTCGGGGGTAAGTGTGCAGTCAGGATGCCTGGGCAGATAGCTTCTGCACACTGGAGCCAAGGAGGCGCCGACGCTGAATCCGCAGTTGACTCCAGCAGGGAGACTGCAGAGACACGGAGGGACTGTGTGAATGGAGGTTCATAAGGACGTAGTGACAGAACTTGAGCGGGGTGAGAAGGAAACGAAGTCAGATGTGTGAGGCTTTTAGCTTTTGTGAGCAGAGTAGGTAATGATTTCAAGGTTTGAAAGAGGGAGGACAAAAGGGTAGATATTTTGACTTTGCATTAGAGAATGGGTCCAGTGGCCTTTCGAATTGATTAGAAGGTTTTTTTTGTGACCTTCAACAAGCCAGTTTCAGTCCAGTCCGGTGGTAGGTAGGTCTCAAGTCAGACCGTGAGGCTTTAAGGAATTAGTGGTAAAAGAGAAGAACGGAGGGAGCCATTTTGACTTCACATTTGAGGACGAAGCCAGAACACGTGCTTTGGGATGCGTAAGCGGAGGACGCAGCCAGCTGGAGTCCCTGATGTGGTTCAGAATGGAACCCGCTGACCTCCTGTTTCCCAAGTTATAAAAGGAGGTTATTTATTGAACAGCCACTTTCAACTTCAGCTGCATATTATAATTACTTAGGGAGCTTTAAAATTACATATAAATAGATACCACTTCCCCATTTAAATGAGAAATTCTCATTTAGTTGATCTAGGGACCTAGATCAGATTTTTTTTTTGAGCTCCTCCGGATCTGAATATGCAGCTGGGGTTCAGTGTCTGCTCTGGAATTTGTTGGAAGCAGTCTGTAAGAGAAGGTTACAAAGGGTAAGTGGGAATGATAAGGGTTCATTTGAAGTCAGGTAATACGGATTTGTCCTGTCTCTGCCTTAGTTGAAAGTACTGTCATCTACTTTCATAGCACCGATTTTTCTTTCTACTTTTCCTCATCAGGGAACCACAAGAGCATCCAATAGAAGCTGTGCAATTATGTAAACTTCTCAAGTCAACGGTCTTCCTCAAAATAAAGAAGTATGGTAATCCTTACCAACATGCAGTGCAGAGCCTTCTCAGAAGCACAGAATATTTTTGTATTTCCTTTATGTGAATTTTTAAGCTGCGAATCTGATGGCCTTAATTTCCTTTTTTGACACTGAAAGTTTTGTAAAAGAAACCATATCCATACACTTTGTTGCAAGATGTGAATTATTGACACTGAACTAACTGTGTACTGTTTGGAAAGGGTTCCTCAAATTTTTTGACATTTTTTTGTATGTGTGTTTTTTTAAGTTCTTACGAGAAGGGGACGGGAGGGTAAATAAACCACTGTGTGTCTGGGTATAATCTGAAGATTGCTCCATCTATATTAGCAATCTGCTCTTGATTACTCTCTGCTATATATAATGGTGCTGTGAGGGGGGTCATTTTTCAATATATCAAACTTTTGTACTGAATTTTTTTGTAATAAACAATCAAGGCTTCAAAAATTTTTTTTAATAGAAAAGAGAAATTTTGTAAGAAGGCAATATTAACCTAATCATCATGTAAGCACTCTTGGATGAAGGATTCCACAAAACTTTGTTTTATGGTTACTTCTTCTCTTAGATTCTGAATTCATGCGGGGATGGGGGGGTGGGGAGGGAAGGGTTTCCCTTAAAACGCATTAGCTGTGTTTTTAAAGATAGTGTAACTTGCTTTAATTTCCTATGTTACATTAACAAATAAACGCTGTTTTAATATTAATCTGCTGTCTTTTTTAACTTTAAAAGCCCGATTTTGGGGGGAGAAAAATACTGTTTTAGTTTTGCTTTTCGTAAAAATAATTTGGCTTCTTGTTTAAGCTAGTTTCTTTAAGCTTTGGTAATGAGGGAGATATATAGAGAAATACACTGTCCTGGTGTCTTCCCCCCCTTTTCAGTACTGTTGTCATTAATAATGGTAGTAACAATAATAAAAGCAGTGATAATAGCTAATGTTTTGGAGCCAGGCATTGTGCTCTGTGCTTTATATTTTTGAGCTTATTAACAATAAGACCTTTCAAAATCTCTTTAAATAGGAAAGCCAAATGGGAACAGGGACAGTGGCAGAGGACACTGAGGAAGACATTCCTCTTAAAGGAAGAAGATGGAGATAATACCTAGAATCTAGTTTTACTGTCTTGTAAAGTAGAGAAGAGATCCTGAGTAACAGGTACCTTCTAGAGGTTGAAGGTGTGAGGGCTCCGACCTAGGTAGGTGTGTGCTGTGGGGCGGTGTGGTTATGTATGGCAGTAATGAGGGTGTCATTTGTTAGGGGTTTAGGGCATTTTTGTCTTGTGATTGCTTTAGCCCAAGTGTGTTCATCTTGTAGAAAGTAGGAATGTCTGGACCATCCCTAGAACGGACAGATGATCAATTTCGGAAGCCAACCCAGAGTCAGTGTTTGGCTTTCCCTTAAAATATTCCTGCAGGAAGCGGCGTAAAGACTGCCAGCTTTCTCCTGAAAATAACCCCCAAAGTCTCAGAATTGCTGTGCTCTGCAGATTTACTGCAGACTCTGGTACCATCCCAGACACAAGATAAATGCCGGAGAAGATATTCTGTCTGGTGAAGCAGATAAAACGATAATTTCTCAACCCAGATTTATCTTCAGAATGAGAATAGCACTGCAGCGTATGGCCAGACTCGGCTTTGAACCGTTTTGCCACAAGATGGGGTTCTTGCCGTCAGAATACACTCGGGGTACTTTATCGCTGGGTAAATCAGCTTCTGGAATTGGACGCTTGCAGGCGGTAGGCATTAGGAAGCGTTGGCAGCTGTACTCGGGGAGAGTGGTGCACACTCTGTAGCCGCCCAGATGGCCAGCTAGGGAGGGAGGGCGAAACCCAGGACCCTGTTAGCACGAGGTGTGGCGTCTCTGCACGTGTAGCAGGCCGGAGGTTGTTGGGTTTACTCAGTCTGACCAAGTTTAGACTAAATTGAGGTTCTCGGAAAGCGAGCAGTACTTGCACCTGCGTCCCCCGCCCCCGCCCCGACACGAGAGGCGGAGGCTCAGAGCCCCTGTTGCCTCCTGCATCCTCACTGTGTCGCCGCATCCATGGAGCTTACGGGTACATTTCTGGATTATTCAACTATTTTACAAGCACGGAATTTCTTTGGTGTTCTGGTTTCACCACTATTTAGACAGGGATTTCGTTTTTTTTTTTTTTTTTTTAAAGTAGGCTCCGTGCACAGCATAGAGCCTACTGTGGGGCTTGAACTCAGGACCCTGCGATTAAGACCTGAGCTGAGATCAAGAGTTGGGTGCTTAACCAACTGAGCCGCCCAGACGCCCCTAGACGTAGGACTTTTTTTTTTAATTCCTCTTGTGTGTAGGTCTAGATATCTCTGTGTTCTTCATTAAGAAAATTTGGGGTGTTCTTAATTTGTTGAATATTATCTCTTTCCTGTTTGCTGTTCTTCCCTTTGGTGATTTCTTTTAGATTTATATTGAACCTACTCTCTTTCCTATCGTTTAGATTTCTCTGTGTTGTATTCTCAGGAACTTCTTTGTATTTATCTCACTAATCTTGTTCTCAGTCTCAATTTTTTTTTTTTTCATCCTTCTCATTGAGTTTGTAATTTCATTGACTATACTTTTCATTTCTGGAATTATCTTTGATTCTTTTTCAAATTTGTCCTTATTTTCAACTCTTCTCTTGTTTTTCTTCCTTTTAAAGAGTCATTTTAATCACACTTGTTTTATGGTTTCTCATCTATGTTCCTGAATCCTTGTGGAGATCCTGATTTTCCTGTTAGCTGCAGAAAAAGGGATGGTTTGCTCTTTCGTGGGGTTTTTAGGATTGCGAACTTTTCTTCAGCAAGGGTGGTTTATTTTGTGAGTGGTTTGTGTACCTACCGTACGGAGTAATTCGGGAGTTTCCTGTGCCAACTCTCCAGTGATTATAGTGGATTGGACTATGTTGCTGTTCTCTCATCTTGTGGTGGTGAAAAATGCTCTCGGCTGCTGGTGCATGGGTCTCCTTGCTTTCTCACAGGTCACTTGCACCTGCTGCCCCCAGTCCCCATCAGAAGTTTGCCTTCGCTCTGCATCGGCAGGCTTGCCGTAGTGGGAGGTGTGGGGGACGGTGCTGAGCCTTTTGCAGCCGGCTCCCTTCTGCGTCCTGCCCGTGCATGGAGATTGTGCCGTGTTTCCTACCCCGACCTCCACCCCCCACTCTGAATTCTTGCTTCTTTATGGCACCTGCGCAATTTTTGTTCTTATTTTAAGCTTGGCTCTATATTACAACAAAGATTTAGTTACAGTTTATCAGTTTTGCAGTGAAAGAAGGTTCCTCCTTGCCGGCTTATTTCCGCATCACACATCAGTACAAACATAGACACACTTACTTGCATATGTGTACGTGTATGTATTTTAAGAGAGATCATTATTCTAAATCATGTTCCTTTTGGTTTCAGTTTCTCACCCACCATCCCTTTCACGAAATCTTAAATTACAAAGAAAGTTCTTTGAATGCCCTTTCTTTTCCTGGCCAAATCACATGTTAAAAACAAAATGGGAAATTAAAAAGAGTCTTTAAATAACCTGCTTGTGAATCACTGGCTTCTAAACAAAACGCAGATCTTTTTAGTTCTGTTGCGTGAAGGAGTAGCGTGGATGTGAATTCTAGGAGGTACCACCAGAGGAGAATGACTTAAGCCTCTGAAGCCGGGTTCTGGTATTTCCATGATAGTTACCTGGGAAAACCCAGAATTCTGAGATTGGGAAGACTCCTTCCGTCTCCTGCCAGAAAGAAAAAGGCACAGAAGGACGCGGTATTTAATATTCTGTGTTTCTGCCATTTGCTTGTCTCACTCATGAGACACTCAGAGCCACAAAAAGGAAGATATTTAGGCAAAATACATGTACAACTCGCAGAAGTTGTATTTCAAGGTGTTGCTGGGAGAGCTTCTCGAGAACATGCAATTGGGGAGAATCCGTAATCAGTGGGGAGCAGTACGGGGGGTGGACGAGGCTTTGCTGTTCCGGAGGGGCAGGCAGAGCGAGGGCGGAGGACGCTCACAGAGGCTGACCAGTGGCCGGTGTGCCCTGGAGGCTGGCCCCACACTGAGAGCACGAAATCCCCGCCCGCCCTCCCTCCTACTATTCTGTATTTTCCTTCACTTTTAACGGCACAGTAAATCCTGTCTTTTGCTGACTTTTCTCCAGAGGCACAAATGCACCTCTCAGTGTAAGGAGACAGCCTGTTCAGTAGGTTAATTACAACGATAAAGCACATACTCGCCAGACTTATACGTGAGTGCTTCCTCCACCAATCTGAACTGGAATTCTCCGCTCGGATGCCGGCCAAGCTTGCTCTTAGAGAAACGCAGCTCTTTTTTTTTTTTTTTAAAG